GGCTTCTTGGTTGCCGCAGGCGAGAAGGCAAGGTCTTCTGGGCCGCATGGCCAGTGCCTTAGTGTTGACGCGTAAGAGTGCTTAAGTATGACACGAAGAAGGACGTTGCATGACAGGGGCTGTGTCTTCTGGATGCCTCTTGCGCAGAGGTGCCTTACACGAAGTGGCTTGGTGCTCATTCCACACTGCGGCGCAGGCAGGAGCAGTCCCCCGTCTTGTTTCGGGCTTGCGCACCAGAATATACCAGAATGTATCAATGTAGCATAGGTGGCTGTCGCAGCCGAAGTGTGTGTACCATGTTGTCGGCGGCTTAGCGTGGGCTAGCCTACAACTGCGTCTGTGAGTATTCCGCGACCAGGATTTGAACGGATATGGGCGGGCTCCCGTATCGGGAGAGGCTGGCTGAAGCTAATGAAAGCTAGGTCTGTCCAGACTGCGAAGCCGCTGCGACTATTCTCAGTTGCCCGTCGAATCTGTGGCGCAACATATGACAAGCCTCTTAGGGGTTGGGTGCCTCTTTGTAACTTTGGAAGGAAGGATCTATCTGCGTCGCGAAGTCATAAACGCGTAAATCTTGTAGACTTGAGCCAGCCCATGCGGGCGTGAATCAACAGGCGATTGTTCTTAAGTTCGGCATTGGGCCGGCAGCTGAAATCGGAACGCCCAGTCTGTGTCGTTTGTGAATGTCATGGCACCTCACCGGTCTCTATGGTTAGCTTGTTTCTCCAATCATTGTAATTGCCATCAATGTTTTACAAACACCACCAACTGCCGGACCGAACTATGTAGCTGATTGCTTTGTCATGCTTGTGGAATGACATTTCCTTGAATTGAAAAACCCTCCCTTGAGTCCCTTTGCTAGTTTCTGCTTTCAGAGCTTCCTACTGTGTCGTCTTTGCATGGTCGAGCAGATCATGCTAATCCTCGCCTGGCACATTTTGCACACTGCCTTGGTGCAGCAGTCGCTCCGGTGCATCGTGTGTCTTAAGGCATGTTGCGTGAGAGCTGCTGAAGATCCCGTCTTCAGGAGACGTTTCGGCGGCCGCTCGCCGTTGAAGCAGCTGGTGTTGTGCATGCTATTGTGGGACGCTGGGTGGCACCTCGGCGGCTCTCGGTGGGCTTTGCTATGAGTCGAAGTGACTCGCAGTCCAAAGGTTTTTGCTGAGAAGGGGCCCGCAGCACGGCGACTCGGCGCCGAGAGTGCCGCCGGCTTGACCTTGCCTTTCGCTACCTCTACTTATGGTCTGAAGCCATCAGCATGGCTACAGGGATGGCAGCAGTGAGAACCAGGTGCTTACGAGGGAAGGGACCTGACTTGGCCGCAGTACGCCGAATCCTCGGCAGCAGGTGTTTGTTGCTTGTAGACACAGAGACACAGGGTGGGAGTTTCTTGCATCGAGCTCCAGGTCCAAGCGGTGGCGAGGGCCGACACGAACCCCGGTGCCTCGGACTGTTATTCCATGAAGCAGGCGATTTAGGTGGCCGCGTGCTGCCCCAGTCTTGAGGAACTCGGATGAGCTGTGATGTGAGTTGCCAGGTCTGCTGGAACCCCTACCCGTCGAAGCAGGCGCTGTGCAGCAGCTAAAGGTCACTGTGCGGCTTGGAGCGGCCAAGGCCGAATCAAGCAGGGTCTTGCATGAGCCTGGCATGTTTTAAGGAATTGCTGAGATAAACACGAATGCAGTTGAATGGGCCTCGCATCCTGTAGGCAAGATTCCCATTGCTCGCCAGAATGCGTCAGGTGACAGGATCCGCTGGCCCAGAATTTGCTTTGCAGCTTGTTGGGACCGATCACGACGATGTTTCTGCAAGACGAGGCAAGGAAGTCGATCGATTCTGCGTCTTGCCGGTGTCCTGAACATGTATTCTGTATTCAGGTGATTCTGTGAGAAGGGCTAGTGAAGCGCCCACCGAGCTCTAGGGGCCGAAAAGTGAAGTGCTTGACGGAAGCACTCCACGAGTCATGGCACCGCACGCAGGATGCATGAAGTGCTGCAACATACGGGCCCAAACAGATCGTAGTGAGTAATAGCGTAGATCTAGGTAGAGTTTACAGACTTCATCACTTTTGCGGAGCCGAATAGCAGAATGCCAGCTGCAGTTGCATCGGGAATTCATAGCCACCAAATCTTCAGACGATGCTCTCAAGTCTGCTTCGAGTAAACGGCCCCAAGAAGCCTGAGCTTCTAGCTCGGAGCTATTAGACGCATGGCGGCTGGTCTGGACGTGCACTTGCATCCCTTAGTCCGTGCCCTCGAAGCGAGGCACCGGCTGATGTGTTTCGGGCGAGTGAGCCAAGGTCCTCATCAACATCTCGGATCATGTGGTGAGGTTTCGCAGCGCCAGTCGGCGGCATCCCAAGCATTGCACAGAGCAAAAAAAAGGAGGCAATGTCACACACTTCTAGGAGTCGACGCAAGGTCGGAGCGAGTACTTGGTGCTTTGCTTGGTGCGCAGGAGGGCAGGCCCCCCGCCTTTTTTGGGTGGATCGATGGTGCAAACACCTGCACTGCAACCATAGTCAGGCGCATAGACGTGCACAACTCCTTCGAGCTTGTGTTGCAGGAGGAATCTGGTGAGAGGCACGAGAGACGCCAGAGCGAGGCACCAGGGCCCACCATGGCTTCTGATGGTTGCAGGTCCCTTGACCTGGAGTTCTTCCAGCAGCGCCTAGCGCAATACCTCGAGGCTGCCGAGCGGAGCGGAACAGCCCTCTTCTGCAGCCGCAGCCGCATGTCAGGTGTTTCCGCGGTACGAATTTTTGGGTGGTTGACCCAGCTGAGCCTAGCGCTTCTTGTCTCACCCCGAAGCGCAGCAGAAGGGAGGGAGCGATCAGACCGATGATGCTGAGGATGGTATTCGACGGGCCCTCACCCAGAAGAGGCTGACAAGGCCTTGCACAGAAAGATCCAGGAGGCAGGGTACAGGAGATGTGTAACTTCCCTAAGCCTGGAACTTCGGGTTCCGGGAAAGGTCGGTGCCAATGAGAATCCCTTTGCCCTCCTCATGGACGCAGACAAGATGTCGCGAGAGAAGGCACTGCATCGATCGTCATTTCTTCATATCAGACTTTGTTGTGAATCCGTTACGGAGCGCTCAGTGGAGCTCTGATCGTGGAGGCTTCGCAAGGAGAGGACCTGCCGGTGAAGGCGTCTGGGTCTCTCTTTCAGACTCGGTGAACCTCAGCTCCAGATGCACAGGTCTATGATGCCACGGTCCACATCGAGCAGGGTGCAGCCACGGTCACGTGGAACGAGGCAGCGCAGATGCTTTGCTCATGTGCAAGCTGGAATCATGCAGCTGAAGCCTTTGGATGTCTGAGCTGGTCTTATGCAGGTGCCGTACATAATCGATACCCTGGAAGCAGAGCGGATAGCAGCAACTCCGGCGTGTTTGAATGCTGTTGCTGGAACCGGCCGTCAAGCAAAGATGTGCCCATTCGGGGTACAGGTCAACCATGTGGCCAAATCTGCGACCACGGCCACATCAGGCGGGACAAGATTTCTGCGGGAGCCATGCTCTGGGAAAGCTCCGAACGAAAAGGCGGAAGAGTCAGTGCTTGCAAGGCTATTCCTCCGACTTCACTCAGTACACGTCTGGCTTGTCGAACTCCGTGGCAATGCCGGCCAAGTTGCTTGAACACTAAAATTCAAAACGACAGGATCAGACCACCAGCTAGCTCTGTAGTGGTTGACTCATGTACTTCGTGGTCTGTGTGATGCTGTGGCCAGGTCATGCTCAGCAATCGGATAAAGGAATTGTTGGAGCACATGAAGGAGGTGAAGGCAACTCCAAGGGCGTTGCACAATCTCTGTGCGGTATCAACATGTCGATGTATCAACTGATCGCACGGAATGCAGCATCCTTTCCCACCGTGAAGCTCAGTCAAGTCTCCCGGTGTCAATGCTCAAAATAGCCCAGTCCCTGAAGGAAGGACGAGCTCCGAAGAATCCGGAGGTCCTGAGACAAACGCTGTCCATCTGCCAGGCACGTGGATAAGTCCGATACTTTATCGCAAAACGCCTTCGAATTGGACTTGCGCACCGGTGCACCAGGCACTCCAGTCCGTGCATCCGGCAGCCTTGCAGGAGGTCGGCGTCTCATGTAAGTTGTACTTCAGCTTTACTTGCTAACCTCAGTTGTAGAAGTTAAATCGTGTAGCTCACCAGGAGTTCTGTGGCGAGTACAACGATGCCACGCTGGTCGTACTCCTGGCGACTCTGACCAAGGCATGCATGGCTTCCGTTTTCATGCGTTGCTCAATCGCGAAACTCTGGTCGATTCAGTACCCCTAAACCCTAAACCTTAACATGAGGTTTGTGCCAACACCTCTGATCTGCTCGACAAGTTCCAGCTGGCATATGACAGGACCGCTGGATGTGTTTGCGTTGGTGGTTCCCAACTCGGTTGAAATAAACACTAAAGTTGCATGTTAGGGGCGTGAAAGAAGCGTGAGGTGCAGCGCTGCTTGAAGCAGCTAGTGTTCCAATGCGAAGTATGTCTGCGCAAGCAACATCGGTTCATCAAGACTGGAGTGTGGTTGAATTTGGCTTAACGTGGATTGGGAGCGAACATGCCGGGGTTTCAGTTGAAGAACAATCTGTCTCAGCCACGTGCCCGCACTCAGCAGGAAACATCGACCCAGACATCACTATCCCTTCGGCTGATCCTGAGTTGGGATCAGTCTGTTGCACGCGGCTACAAGCAATGTCGAGCACATTTCCCAGCCGGTGATGCATGTAGCTCGGTGCAAAAAGTGTATGCCCAATGGCAACGTGCTGTGGGAGCTTGGATGGGACAGGGTTGACCCGATTTTGGGGCTTCTCTGTTTCGAAGACTCGGGACTGCGCGCTTGCAAGCATGGACCGCTTCCAGCCGTGAGTTTCGGCGAAAATTTGCTCAAAAGGGCAAGTCCCCTCAATGTAGCTGCAGCCGGAGGCATGGCCGCCTTTGATTTGCAGTATTTGTCCGACTTGTCCCAAGTTCCACAGGTGGGCTTGATGTCCTTTCTCTGGCTTCTGGCTCACCGAAATGTGCTTGCCCAGTGGATTTAAGGATTTAAGATGAGGATTTCCGTAGAATGATGGCAGGTACTGGCTGCGTTGCTCTGCTGTGCCACAGCAAGCAAGCTGAGGAGAGTACCCCTTCTTTTGGGTAGCAGTGCATAGCAGTGCATAGCAGTGCATAGCAGCTGTTGATGCGTTCTTGACCCTCAGCCGCCGAAGGTACCACAAGTCGAGGAGCTCGGGCTCCTGTGGCAACGTTGCGCCGCAGAAGGTAGGGCGTGCCTCGCAAGACTGCCTGCACCACCTGTCTTGCTGAGCGCAGGTGATGATTGCGCTTGTGGCAGTGGCCATGTTCGCTTCGGTGAGGGGGACCGGTGGGTGCGCCACGCCAACAGCCCTGCAGTGTTGTAGCAGTGCAATCGCAGTCGACGAGGTCGCCCTGCAGCTTGGTGCAAGATCTGCCCCAGTGCCATTTCCCAAGTGCTTCCTTTGGCTGGGGAAGTGATATGTACTCATGCCATTTCCTCCGGAACAGGTCATGCAATATCTCGAGCTTCGGAGAGGCACTTGCCGTGCAGTTGTGCACCACGACAAGGCATTCGGCATCGCAGTCTTTCCTGAAAGGATCCAGCTTTCAATCGGATGAAGGCATGTGGGCAGAGTGGAGTGGGCGGCGTTTGCCTCATCCTGACATAGAGCCTTTCGTAGCTGAGCTGCGAAGCTATCCGTCGGCAAGCTCTCCTTGGCAGGAGTGTTGGTGCGCTGTTCGGGCATCGATCTTAGTTTGAAGCTCATGAGCATTCATGCGGCGGGTGCAAGGAGGTTGCATCTCAGTGTGCACCCCTCATGTAAATTGCTGAAACCTGCTGAAATTAAGTATCTGGTGTGCGCTTCCTGCTAGCATTCCTGGATATGCTCTTGTTGAGCATGAGCCAGAGCATCAGATCTAGATCGTCTCTCGACCTGAGGCAAGCGAGAATCTGCAACCTGCCCGTGTTGCCATTGCGAGTCTGACCTGTCTTTCAGACTCCGTCTTTCAGACGCGGGTGCGCAGTGTACGGCTCCTGGGTTCTAAGCAGGTCATGCTTAGCCGACATCCCCCAGACCTGAAGACCTGGATCAGGCGAAGCTGGTTGTTTCATGCAGACTTAGCCTATCTTATGAGACTCCGCTCCGGGACAGGTACCACCTTCATCATGAAGGGGTGGTCTGCTTATTTCTGCAGCTGCTACTGGAACGCTTCGCCGCAATCTGACAAGCGAGGTCGAACACATCTTCGTAAGAGCTGAGGAGCATGCAACACTTACTTCTACTGCATGGGAAGCATCGCATCCCTGAGAGAAGAGCTTGGCAGAAGGATTCGCCGCAGATCTCCGAAAGCGTCCAGCAGCTATCAGCGCAGGACCAGGCGAAGGCGCAAAACCTCATTCGAGTAGTCTGCGCAACACATGGAGGGATGCTTTGAGCATGAGGAAAGGGTTAGTCAGGTCACGCTGTGGGCAACTCCAAGTCCAAGCTTACGCCTGGATCTCGGCTGCTTCAACCACCATCAGACTTGCAAAGCCGAGGGTGAATCTGGGGTCACCGATATCTCTTCTGTGGAAAGCTTCACATGGCAACTTCTTGACTTTGCAGTTGGCCTATCCTCGACGGACTCGCGCCCTGTGGACGACTACACCACTTTGCAGGTGCCATTGTTTCGAACACTTGTGCAATACAGCATCGCCAGACCGTGCTTCCCGAATTCGGACCTGGTCATAGTTGCACTGCAAGCCGTAAGCCAAGGTTGTAGAGGTGCCTCTTCAACTTTCAACGGCTGACCGTTTTGCAGGCGACAGCACGGACATGGACAATGACAGCAGAAATAGTGATAATAGTGATACTGACCAAAGCAATCGCACCCGCAAGAACGAAAGTAATGTCCATGCTAGGCCCGCTAGGCCAGCGTCCCCGTCCTCGCACACCTGAAGAGCCTTAAACCCGAAAGCCTAGGCCCTAAACCCTAGAAGCCGTAAACCCTGAGCCCTGAAAACCGCTTTCGGATGTCCGATGTCTGGGCCAGGCCAGGCAAACTGCCGCCATGGCCAGAGCCAGGGATGCCTGCAACCAGATGGGGATTGATTGGCGCTGGCCTGAACTTCATGGTTAGAATAGGGCGTAGATGGGGTATATTCTATTATAGCTATAAGAAGGAACCCCCAGAATGGTAATGGTAATTATTGAGCTCAGACTCAGAGAATACTTTGGATGCAAACGCCCGCATACATGAGTAATCCGAGCCATCGAGGCTCATTCATATTGATGACGACGAGCTGCTGTATTCTCCGCAGAGCCGGAAGATTGGGGAGCGCAGCCGCAGACGAATTCCTGAAGCAGTCACACGTGGCTTTGATGCTGGGGAGGATCTGTTGGCTGCCGTGCCCTCAAACTTGGCACAGGCGGCATGCAAGGGCTGATTGCGAGGATTGCAGGTCGGTGCCTTGAGGCATGAAGTCTTTTTTCCTGCCGCAGCGCCAGTTTGGCCCAAAACTGTAATTCGCCACTGAGAGATTCTTTTCCACCATGGTGGTCGTCGACAGTGACCCCTTGCAGCTGAAGCTGAAACCTGACTTTCTGAAGGCATTGCCGCAGGCCTCCTCTTGACCTGCCGATCATGTTTTGTGGTCGAAAGTTTTCCTATACAGGTATATTACGAAGTTGTGCAATACATGGTTACAGATAGCATATAGAAGTATGATCCAGTGTTTTGTAGTGTATATTGCAGTGTAGTCTTCTATATTGTAGTAGACCATATTTTGTTCTAGCATATCTTCAGCTGTGAAGGCTGCTCTGACCGGCCTCTTGTGCGAGTGTGCAGCCAGCGGCGACATCGCTGGCCTTCGGGTTCTCATCCACGCCGGGGCCGAGGTCAACGCTGCTACTGCCTACGACATGCGAACGCCGCTGCACTTGGCAGCTGCTGCAGGCAAGTTTCTCGGTCAGAGATTTGGGAAGAGGCGTTGGGCCGAGGGAGAGGTGGTAATGCGTCATTTTAATGTACAGCTTCCTGCAGATTTTTAACCGTAGATGTTTCCATGCCTTTGCAGAATGCCTGGCCACCGCATGAGGCTAGATGTCGTCAAGTTTTTGATCGCAGAGTGTGGTGCATCGTTGCAGCAGGATAGATTCGGGTTGCTGCCCATACACGATGCTGTCGAGAACAGCCACACAGAAGTGCGGCGCTACCTTCAGAGCCAGAAGCTTGCAGTTCCGCAGCAGTCTCTGCAAAAGCGACGACGCGTGGACTCAGTCGAAACACTGAATGCGAATACAGAGGCTCGTCGATGGTTAGTCTTGTTGACTCTGCCATTTTCGTTGGTTGCTCTGGCGTGAAGTGCGACCAGATCTGAGGATCGGGACAACGATAATACAGATGAGCTGATGGGGACCGTGTTCGAGTTGGTTGTCAAAGAAGGTGTCTTCAGCTACACGACAGTTCATGCCGAAGTGAAGCACTTCTTCCAGGTGCTCCGGTTTCATGAAATCTATTTCAAGCATTTCACGCCCATGCAGATTGCCAAGCATGTTCACTGCCTCATTGCTGCGAAGCATGTCGCCCGTGCTACTGACGATATCGGGGGTCTGGAGTTTGACTTCAAGCCAGGTGCTGAGCATTCGTCTTTGGCTCCTGAGCCACCGCAGCAAACCCTTCGATGTTTTTTTGCCACATCAGCTGTGAAGGTCAGAGCACAGTGGCTTCTTCCTGAGCAGCATTGGTTGCGCTAGGGAACCGACAGGACGCCCCTTTCATATCGACACAGTCACTAGGCCTCCCAGTGGCTCCTGTACACTCGGATCGCAGGAGCACAGCTTCGCACCATCGATGCTGTGTCGGCCTTCCTCACGCACTGCTTCGAAGACGGAAAAAATGTGCCTTGGCAGGGAGATCTGAACTCCGTCGAAGATGTGAGGATTGATCTAAAGGCCTGTGTTTATGGTTATATTCATACTGTTTCTGAGATTTGAAGCAATATGTCCTCGAAAGTTTCGCCATGGCCCAGCGAATGCATTCAAAAGTCCGCGAACGTTTTTACGTGACAGGCTTGGGGCATGTAAGGTTTATCATTATGGAGAACATACCATCACTCTGCAGGCGTACAGGTCTCAAGCCCGTTATTGCACAATGCCGCTGCAACTTCAAGCGAGGTGCCAAAACCAGGTTCCAGTAAAGTCGACTTAGCCAGATCTAGGCAGGTACTGCTACTACTGCTACTACTACTACTACTACTACTACTACTAGCCTACTACTACTAATATTAATATTAATACGAATACTACCACTACTACTACTACTACTACTACTACTTCTACTTCTACTTCTACTTCTACTTCTACTGCTACTACTACTACTACTACTACTACTACTACTACTACTACTGCTACTACGACTGCTACTGCCACTGCCACCGCTACTGCTCCTGAAACTACGACTTGCACGGCTTCTGCTACTTCCACT